TGGCTGTTAGGAAACCGTGGTGGGCAGCAAATGCAGTTTATAGGTGTAGTCCGAGTAGCTTTGGCTTCCCCTGTCCATTTTCTAAGCTCTAGCTGCTCTTACATAGCAGGGAAGCCCGGCATGGCATTGTAGAGCAGTCTGGGTGCGTTGTGTGGCGTGGTGGATCATTGCGCGGAGTGCGGATCCGATAGCGGCGGGGGGGGGGGGGGCGGCAGGACTGGTCTTGGATGGATGATTTAGTGGCAACCAGAGCAAAACCTCTTAACCCACTGGATCAGATGCTCATGAATGTCCTCAGAGCCAACTGTAGCTGTCCTGTCTGCCGGAGCTGTACGCTTGCCCTGCATGCATTCCCATTAGCCCTGGCAGTGTAATTGGTTAAAAATTGTCTCCACTGACCTTCCTGAGCTGGCAGCTGCCCAACGAGACTGACATATAATGATCGATAGGGCCCAAGCATGGCCTCCTGCTCCTGCATGAACATGATAAATCGGTGCTTGCAGCCCGGTGCTCGTAGGCCACTGCATTGTACCATACGGTCATTCATAATGTCCTAAGGAGAGTTGGATTCTCATTGGTTTAACCGTTCAAACAAGCTGATTTGCAACTGACGATAGCTTTTCCACTACATTTGATGGTGCGTTTTGCTGTCCAGAGGCAACGCTGTGTCTCCACACATTTATTTAAGCAGTTACACAACTGATGTTTATTCACAATTTAATTTATTTAATTTTTACGTTATTATGTTAGAAAATGGGGAATGACGCATTTCTACTTTACTCGACTTGGATTAAGGATATTAAGAGGCGGATAATTCACTAATCGTGTAGTTGATTAAAATTTGTATTGACTTACACAATCAATAAGGAAAGACTAGCACAGTCCTGGCTCACGCAGGATCCAGGAGCTACCCCCGCTGCGGCTCTGCAGTTTAAATGTAGTAAGAGCCGGGCACTTCGGCTGTCTGGCTCCGACTACTTTTAAACTGCGGACGAGCAGCGGGAGTAGGTCTTGAACCTGCTGTGAGCGGGGTCTGAGCAGGGAGCTGGGACCTCTGTGGACACAGGCTGGGGGCGGGGCCGGCTCC